GGGGGGGGAGGCAACGGTGCTGCAAAAGCCCGGGTCTGTTCATAAAACTAAAGTTACCCGAAGCAGTAGCGTTACAACTCTATTCCTAGTTTCTGCACAGCTCCAGGAGGTGAGGGGAGTGACCTGAATCTGCCTATGTCCAAAAGAGTCAGTGTTCCCGCCAGCGCGAAGCCAGGTCACTCAGTGGGTATCAAAACAGTCAGATTCGGTCGCACACATGCAACCATAGGCACTGAAATACTGCATTAGCAGAGGTGGTAGTAAAGGGATCCAAGGAAAGATGTGGATGAACGAGGAGAGCGGAGAATCAGCAGGGAGGAAGGGAGACTGCGAGGACATGAGGCGAGGAAAGGGTGGATGAGGATGAGGACGGAGCGAAGCCGACGGAGGAAGCTGTTGACAATGAGGGAATTTTCGCACGCGAACAAAGCAGATGCTGGTGATATGGGTGGATGGAGATAACAAAGGAAAAGCGAGGGAACCTGCTCCAATCGAAGACTCAGCGTGAGGTCCATCAAAGGTATAGCGTGAGGTCGCACGCATTTGCGTGTACTGGCTTCCCCATAGCTCGCAACGACGCGTCACATTCGTGTGAGTCACGCAAGTTTCCCTATGTAGAAGAATAAGGAGGGGATGCAGTGGCGCAAGGGACCCGGGGGACGAAGAAAGCAAGCCCTGTAGGTAAGGGGAGGGGAAAACGCGAGCCCTAAAACCAGCGTTTCAGTGATTCAGATCCTGATGTAAAATACTGCGAAAATAAATGGCCAACGCACGGGCTGCCCGTGCGAAGATGCGTTTTTTGCAAAGCTCCCCGCAATTTTTGTTGCTACCTGCATCAGTTTTTTCGGCAAATGCTTCCGGCTAAACAAATTAAGACTGGCTGCCAGAACTGGGAGGAAACACCCCCTTAAATTTCGGCTTTCTAGTTTTCCTGGCTCCTGAGTTAGCAACTTACTGGAAAAAACTTTCATGGGCCCGCACGGGTACGACGCATGCCCGATGTCTGGATTTGAGCTCGTTGAGACTTACCTGGACGGGGGAACATCTTAAAACTACAGTCTTTTCGCTTTACAGGTTCTCGAGTTATGAGCTTACCCGAGAAAAACTTTGGTGAACCCATGCGTAAGTACCACGCATGACCGAGGGCTGGGTTTGATCTCGTTGAGATTAATGTGGACGAGAAACACCCTCTTAATGTCACGGTCTTCTAGCATCTCAGATCCCGAGTTACGAATCTACGCGGGAAAAATTTTGGCGGGCCCGTATGCGGGTACCACGCTTACTCCGGAGCTGAGTTTGAGCTCATTAGTACCTATTTGGATGGGGAACATTCCTTTAAAATTTCAGCTTTCTAGCATCTCAGAACCCCAAGTTATGAATTTACGCGGGGAGAATTTTGGCGGGCCCGTACGCGGGTGCCACGCTTACCCGGGGGCTGGGTTTGAGCTCAATAGTACCTACTCGGACGGGGAACATTCCCATAAAATTTCAGCTCCCTAATTTTTTTGGTTCGCGAGTTAGCAGTTTATCCGTAAAAAACTTTGGCGTGCTCTCACGTGGGTACCACGCGAGAAACAGCGTCCATTTTGGGGATGTGGGCCCGTACGTGCATGCAGATTAAGTCCTCAAAATTTCAGCCCTATAGCTTTTGTGGGTCTCGAGATGAAAAATCGGTACAGAGGCGCAGCGCACACACAGACAACCTCTCGTCAATATGCGTTTTTCGCATTACATTGCTGCAAAAACCGCATAAAAATGGGGAGTACCCAGTTACGGAAAGATTGTTCACTGTGTGGTTGGCATCTCAGAAGTAGCTCCCCGCTCACTATCGCACGAAATCCACGAAGCATCCCAGGTGAGAGGTGCATGAAGAGGAGTTGAAGAGCACAGAGCACAAGGAAAATACGTGCACCAGAAAGACGCCGGAGATACACTTCACACTTGAGAAATTGGTAAAGACATATACGTCGCAAATGCATCCCATAAATGACAATGTAACAGAATTGGACGCATAAGTGGATACTCGGCCAAACTGACCAACCCCTCTGGCCATAAATCCACAGATTTGGGGATGCCGAAAAAGTGATCATCAAAAACAGCTTCTTCACTAATAAATCCTCCTATGCTCCCTTTTCACGATCGTAAACAACAATATCTGAATTCCACAAACAACAATTTCCCCTCCATCTCGGGGCTGTAAAAACCCCAAAATTGGCCCAGATTCCGAAAGAGATCCATATCGATGCTGTGGACATGCTGAAAGGATTTCTTCATCCGGACAAAGCCATGAGAGATCAGGATGGGGCACATCTGGCAAGCATACGACCGCTTTGTTGGATTTGGATGTCGTTTGACCTCCAACCATAGCAACCCGTGCTGACTTCACATCTCGCTTACCGTCATCACCATCGAATTCCGCAGCACCTATCAGTAACAACGATCGTGCCAGTGAAGCATTTATATTCGTAAACACATTCTTTGCTTCATGTGATCGCTTGCCTCATCGCCAGAGATTATCCGAAAGCACCAT